TCATTGAAAGAATGGATGAAATGTTGATTACGGATAAAAACACCCAATAAGTGAAGCAAGCTGCGAAAACTTAGCCTCTACATTGCCTCATTTAGTTTTCGATACCACCGATTTGAAAGTTTATCCGCTGTGTTTTGTTTTTGCTTAACACCTTCAGTTGCTAAGATCTTATAGCACTCTCAGTCTCTCTTAATGCTATGTGTAACGTCAACTTACATGCTTCTAATATCATGCACTTCCATCTGTTTCCATGTAAACAAATATCAAGGAAGGTAATGCACTGTTCTGACACCAAGTCCCGTTTCTTCAAGAAACAAATAAATAAAACGAAATTTTGACATTCGTTGCAGCCTTGCAACTGCCGATCAGAGCCGTTGATCTGATTGTCAAGTTTCCGTTCTTATACTTGCCAGTTATTTTTAAACACTTTTGTTCTTAGGATAGGAAACAACCTGAACTCGAACAGAAAGTTAGGAGTTCAGAATAACAAACTTTCGTTTCATATTATACGAACATTATTTTAGTTCTGACAGAAAAACGCAGGCTCGCGCCTGCTACCGCATTAGAATTTGAACGGCAGCGGTGCATTCCTATAACATCTTTGTTTACGGCATAGCTGCACGAAAGTGAACTCGCAAACGTCGCAGAAATTTCCCAGGAAAGAACGATCATCGTCTTACATTGCTCCTTTGCTACCGCTTCGAAACTTGTATCGTATCACCCTGTATGGTTGTAACTTTTTCAAGTTGCTCTTAATGAATCTGTACATTTTCACTGCAAGTTGTGCTAGACACTGTTTCTTACGCCATCGAGTGAACCGCCACTTCCAGTTTTTCAGGAGGATTTTTCTTACTCGACTATGCTACTGCTACTTAATATACCACAGTAAATGAATGTTGCTAACTAATACTTGATGCCATGGTTTTGGATGCAAAAGTAATCTGATAGAATAGATCAAAAAAATTTATTACCAAAGTTTCTACTGTACAACTGTTTTTTTCAGAGCTAAGCAATATTCAGTGCGCATTAAGAGGTTTATTTACATGCACGAAGAGGTTTACGTATCTAAACCGTTTTGTGCATACTGAGTGCTGTCTAACCCTGATGCGTGTGTAATCATCACTTTGAACTGTTTTTATAAGCAGAACGTCTCTGGTCCGTCATATCCTTTGTGTTGGCAGTCTTCTGGCAATTTTGCTGTAAGGCACCGGTTACCGCATTATAAAAGGAAATATTCTTCTTCGAAAGCAGCTCTGCCTCTACCTCGTTTCTTCAAGTTGCACGCTTGCCTCCCGGCTGACGTCTGCCGTGTTTCGGCTGCAATACGAGAAGCTCGCGGGTTGGAATAAATGGTTTCTGTTCAACCAATTTATCTGACAGGACACACCTCCTTTTTTTAATCTCCAAATCTATTGAGGACACCTGTATCTGAAAGAGAATGGAGTCATTCATTACGTGGTCCTTCCATTTAATCCTCGCTATGCATCAGACCAACATTGCGATATTCGGTTCAACCGTCGTTCTTGTTGTTTCGATGAAACAGCTCTCCATGCCGCACAACACCAGTGACCTGACATATGAGGTACAAGCGAATTTTTGTGGAAATGGCTACCCGTTTTTCGCCGCAAACATTAGACAGGTTATCAAATGCAGTGAATTAGAGGTTGATAATGATCTCCTGGTTAATTCTGATTGGATGGTGCTATCGATAGATAGCCGGAATGCTTAGACTGGTCGACTTTCTCTGTCAGTCGTGTGTGATGAGTTCTTCCTAACTTTGTACTTCCGGGCATTGAGATCTAGGCTGGCATTGGCATCTGTGTTGCAAACGGAAACCGTCATGTATCAGACACTGATCTCTGTCTACTCATCTGGACAATATCGTCTGCCTATTGCAAATCAATAAGACATTTAGCCCGATATCTTGAACTGTGTCTTCCCTCCAGAACGAAATTTAGTGTTCTCTGTGAACAGCAGTGTTTCAGAGAGAAAATTTGAGAACAATTCTGAATAACGAAGGCGAAACCACATCTTCCTGGCAAACCGTACAATTAATGGGAATCCACTCGGATAACTCTTCTGTGCCTTGACAGCAGACATAGTTCCTGCATACACTCTTCCAAAATGGAAACGATATTTTCAAGTATCCAATAGCATATTGAAACTCGGAATTAAACGCAGCTTTAAAGTAGAGGAATCGGGCAAAGCAAACAAGTGGAATCGTCAGAATTGCTCGAGAATTTACGAGGAGTAAAACTTTGGCGATGACATGAATACCCCTCCGGAAATCTGCTTGATTACGGCTTGATCTGAACTTTCCTATCACTCCAGAGGAATTAGATCGAGATAGCAGGCCTTCCCTCACTTTGAGGTGGATCAAGGCCTTTTGGATTTTTAGTTTCGCATGGAGGGTCTGCGCTAACCTCTAGTGTTGGTAGGAAATTAAAGGCAGTAAGGGAAGAATTTGCAAGACAGCTGTTGAGTAGTTGTTGGAAATGATTAGCCCCTCATTTAAAGCGTTTCTTCTTATCAGTCAGTTGGACACCCATAGAGTCTCTAATAGGGATGGAGCGAGTTTTCTGCTTACCCGACTC